TGTGCTGCCTCATTTGCAAATAAAGTTTTCTTGATTTGGACTGTATATAAATATAGCCTATTTAGACCTTAAAACTATGTTGTTTAGCTCTTATTAATCAGATCGACTCTGCCATGCATGGCACTTAAATTCATTATAAAATCTCTTTCCAATACAAGACCTTTATCAATGGTGCCTCACAGAAAAGTGCTGCTTCTGATTTAGCATTGTAGCTATCACAGATTGTTAGACTCAGTGCAAAATTAACAGCTGATGAAAGTGACAGTCATCAACTGTAGGTTAGAGGGAAGAAGCCCATCTTTGGTTGCCTAGATGAAGTTAAAACATTTTGGGTCTTTTGAGGTTTCTACAGTGATTTTAATTTTACTTCCTATATTATGGCCATGGACATGGTCCAATCCTGAGGCTCATCGCTCCTGATTGGCCATTTTAAAGCAAAATTAGCTACACTAGGATTGTCAGTCTGTGACTTTGGGTGAGACCCAAAGTAGCTGTTTTTCCTGAAATGGTGCGACTACAACCAGAAAAGTAGTTACAAAGTTACAATAATGCACTGGAATGGGAAATGGAGCATATTCTCCTTGTTTCCAAGACAATATGTTTTATTCTTGGACTCCTAAGCAGCTTCGGATGGTTCACAGTTCAAAATAATACTTATTTATCTTTGTTTTTAAGCCTCAGTTTGACATTTCAGTTCGTCTTCTGTCTTTTCTTGGCTCCTCTCCCTATAAGCCAACTTTTGTCTGACTGACTGGTTTCCCTCATAAACAGAAGATTTGAATGGTAAGGGGACCTTTTGTGCTCATGGTCAGAACTGCATGTCTCAGATAAAAATATTGACGATATCCACTCTCTATAATGCAATAAAAGTGATTACATGACCTCATCACATGAAACTTCAGATACTACAGGTCATCTAACACAGTAAGAAATGTAACAACCAATTTGCACAGATGAACTGAGTTGAGTTATTGCCATTTAGAAATACATACAGAGAGACTAAAGTCATGCTGAAGACTGTTTAGGCACAGGTGCTTTGTTCAGGGATACTGACACTGACAGTCACTGTATTCACATAAACTCTTTCTCAAAGCCTGCTTTCCTGTCATTGAAATGTGTAGCTTCTTCAGCTGCTCCCCTGCTTCCTCCAGATATTTCAGAAGCTCCACTTCCTGATCTTACTTGATCTGAAGTTCTTGCCCCTCTGGAGTTGTGTGGTTATCTATCAAACCTGTTCCTTGCGGTGTTTACACATCTGGATTCTTGAGCATCACCTCTTTTTCATCATGTTCAAGAATCCTAGAAAAAGTACAGTGTTAACTTGTCATTTTGTGTTCTTTGTGGTCATATAGAACAATGTATACAATTCACAGACAGGAGGATTCACTTGTGTTTGAATTTATCCCACTTTTTAAAGTATTTGCCCCCTATTTGGAATTGGTTTTATGTTGATTCTTCGTAAACGAAAAAAGAAGTTTAGGGTCATGGCACATTGTTGACATGCTTGCCATGTTTTCTCAGATCTCAGTAGAGAAAATTTCATGTTCTTGTAATGACAAAAACACTATTTTAAAATGGAAAAAAAGAGAGACTTGTTTACCTTACTCGGCATCTGTGAATGGTCAGTAGAATACTCAGAAACACGGCGAGTAAGCCCGGAACCAAGACCAATTTCAAAGACCAGGACGGGACTGGAACATATCATGTAACATTATTAAAAACCACAGTAGTTTCACATATGGCATATGAAGCATTTCATCATGAAATCTACCTGGAACATGTATGTGTGTCTCTCTGCTCTGGTTGGTGTTCCTCTGTTGGACTCTGCAGGTGATGTTGTTGCTGTGTCTCTTCTCCACAGTCACTCTGCTGCTGACAGTATAGAGGTCATCAGGACCT